AGGGGGAGGGGGGGTGCAGTGGGCTATTTCCGTCGTTTAGGCGGGGAGGGGGGCTGCCGGAGGGACTCTCACAGGCCGCCGCCGGCCCCGCGCCGGCCCCACCCAGGGCTATTTCCGATTTCCCCCGCCGCCGCCGCGCGCGATTGTTGTTGCATGTTGCACCGCCGCGCCGTGCAGCGGCCGCGACGCGTTGCTTTGCACATCAGCTGCTGCTGCTGCTCCTGCTTGGCCGACAGACCCACACTCCGCATCTCTACAAGATGCAACACACCACTTATGACACTCAAGTGTGTAAATATCGCACACTTATTGTAGGTGTGCGACTACCCATTCGTACTCATTCGGAAATAAAGGTGTGATTTTTTTTTCCTTTTGATATTCACTCACTCGGTGCTTCCAAGTGTATGAATCGCACGCCTACAAGTGTGCGACATCCACCAACTGAGGTTTCCGGTGCACGATTACAAATCAACTTACGATTTTCATGTGACGAAATTGCTGGTTTGTTGAGCGGATGACACCTAAGCTTACTTATAAGCCTGCCTCATCCTGCACTGGCAGCCTAGTCGTGAGTATATGTAGTTATTTGGTGTCGCAAAATCCCTTTCCAGCCCGGCACACGGTAAAAACAATGTCTTATTTTTTTAGGAAAAAGGAAAAACTTTGAGGACCTCCCATATTTGAGGAAAACTCCTCGGATCTCGACTCAGATTTTGAGGAACCTCAAAATTTGAGGAAGGATAACACATTTTTTTAAAGGAGACTTCCTCGAAATCTGAGAAGCTTTCCTCAAACCAACGGATCTCCTCAGAAATTTTCCATTTTCCCTGAAATAATAAGATATTGCTTTTACCGTTAAAAGTACTGCAACACTCGTCGCGCTCTCTCTGCTGTCCCTTTTGCCCTGACCCTGCAATCGCGCCGCTCGCTCCTCTCCGGCCCTCACTCACACACGCCCTGCAACAGGACCACCGACTGTCGCCTGTGGCTGGCCCGGAGGGGGTGGGGGAGGAAGGGGTACTGGAGGGCACTGGCCGTGTGATTACAGTGGGAGGCGCCCCAGTCTGCTCTGCAGGAAGAGCCCAAGGCGCCGCAGGGCTGCTGCAGGACGCCCCTGCAGCCTCATATACATACAGTCACTGCGAACAATAATATCTTCATGAATTTACGACTTATTTTAATGTGATTTCGATTTAAAAAATATTACAACAGCCCATTCCTAATGGACATTGAACTCCAAATCGACTCACCAGCACTTGCAGTTAAAGCAGATACACATCTGTATTAAAAAGGATAGGTACAAGTGCATTTTTCATGATGTAGATGTGCACAAAGACACAGCTATTAGTCTACGTTCAAAAATTTTGTCCCTGGCCATTTAGTGTGATGACATTCGTATCGGCCCCCTCGGACAAGCAGTGCACAACAACTCCGTACGCTGCATTCTGAGAGGCACACGCGAAGCGAAACGTACCGCCTCGGACAGAAGATTGGATTGCTTTCTGGGGAAAAGATTGAGGGGGGTGGGGGTTAGCTCGCTTGAATTACACTGTCTCCAAAGGGTATCTCTATAACAAAACTGAGACTGGTATCTCAGATTTTATGAACCCCATTCAATTGCTAATTTTTTTAACGAGAAGAATGAAAGAATGAATCAACGTTTTCCCCTGTTTTTTTTTTTGTTTTTTTGTTTTTTTCCTGGAGGTGAGAAATAATACGCAATGTTTCCCGTGTTTATTGTTAAGTGAATAACCCCCAGGCGAACAGCCGTGCGCGCGCGGGGTGGGTCAGTGCCCGTGGCGGGTGGAGAGGCGTGCGGCCGAGGTGTCAGAGTGTATGGAGGGGGAGGGGAGAGGGGGGAAGGAGAATCCCGCCCCCGGGCCATAGAACCGGTAGCGCCCAGATCTGGCCGAAGCACAGAGTGAATTGCTGGCGCAGATTTCGGTCCGAGATAGACCATCGCGTTTTCACCCTCTCTTTTGCCCCCCCCCCCTTTCTCTCTCTCTCTCTCTCTCCCTCTCTCTCTCTCTCTCTCTCTCTCTCTCTCTCTCTCTCTCTCTCTCTCTGACGCACGCGTGTTTTGCATTCAAATGTATCGCGGAATGCCATTTCTGGTCGACGCCGCAGCATTGCTGCTCTCGCCCACTCCCCGCCCTTTTCGGTATATTCGCCAGTTTGTCCCTGCCGCTCGCGGGCTGCACTCGCACTGTAGAAAATCTTGTTTGCCGGGTACTTTTCAACTGTGACAATTTACGCACCTGTGGTGCGTGCGACGAGATCGTCACATTTTGCGAATAATGACTGCGGCTCAAGGCGCTCAACTCAACTCACCTTCTTCAGTGAGGGCTCCGATGTAAAAAAGGCGTCATCATATCTGGAACAGAAAAAACAGTAGCGCTGTTTAGTAGGATGTCATGTCATTATCAATTTTCCTTCATAAGCAAGTAGTAAAACTCTCAAAATAGGCCATTACAAAATTTTGCTGTTTTGATAAGATTATCTGAAATATGTAAAAAAAAATGACGCGAGATATACCATAGGAATTGGAAAAAAAAACTCTGTGAAAAACATTGTCGAAAATTTACACATTTTTTTGTAACCTCGAATTATAATTTAAGTTGTAAATTACGCGAGCACCTTTAAACTCGATACATAGGCCTACTGCATGTACGATTACAATTTGCAATTTTACAATTTGCGTCAAGAAAAATTTTCCTGTCAGCCTTCTTACTGTTGTTCAGTCTACAGTTAGTTATGGTGGCTAACATCGTGATATCAGGTGGGTGATCAAACTTCATACGTCCATCCCAATTGGGTTGGAAATTTCTACAGTTTTCCGGAAAATTTTCGGAAAATAACGGAAAACTTCCGAAGGCTGGTATATATTCCATTTTCCCCCGGAAATTTCTTGTATTGTCCCGAAATTTTCCTAAAAAATTTCCCAAATAAAAAATGGTGTCACAAACTATCATTTCCAAAACGGTCGCGCGCGATTCGTCCGCTGGCTGACTCCGGTGTGTTTGCACAGCTGGTCACGTGGTGTGGGTCGGACAAGCCGGGCGCGACAAATTCATATTAGTTTCCGGCAGGCGGAGCCACATGAAAACAGGGGGGACGAGGGTGAGGGTAGAACGCCCGAGGCGGGGCGGGGCGAGGCGGTCCAGAAAGGGGCGGCCGTGCGAGAGGGCGCCGCCTGTCGCCCGCCCTGCCCCACCCTGCCCCGCCGGCTGCCGCGTAGAGGGTAGGGGTTGGCCGCGGACCGGACGGCCGGACGTTTGGAGAGGCCCGCAGTCATCTGAATGCCGTTTGGGGATTTCCCCTCAAAATCAATAGAAAACGAGATTCCATCCCCCAACCGTCCCCGCCGCCCCTTCCTCGACCACTAGTACGACATTTGTGTGGCGCAGAAAGGAAAACAAAAAACACACGGACGCGGAGGTCCTTTCGGATCGCCGCGACAGACACACACACACACACACGTTTCTTTGAATGATACATGAGGCGACGTAAGTTATTTCTGTTTCATCGTATGTTTATAGGTCCGCATTACATTATGTTTGGTATTGCTTGTCCGTTCCGGGTCCGAAGTCTGACATGCGATACGCGGGTGCGGTAGTTGTTTTTGGTCACAAACCCAACAGTGTGTACTTAGGGATCGCCCAGAAAGTACGGCCGTTTCTAACAAGATGCATTTAGGTAAATTTACAGAAGCTCGGCGCCTGCGAGACTCGTGGTAGGCCACACCGCAGTACACGCATGCACTGCAAGCGGGTTGTTGCCTACCTGTCAGGCGTCATGAGAGCTTGCACGGGCTGAACTCGTGGTGTGCTTGAGACTATACTCGTCCTTGTGTGTTCCAAGTAGTACACTGTTTGGTGTACAGTTCAGCTCGTCTGTCCGTGGCCTGCGGTATTCCTCGTCCATATAGATGTGCCTGCGACACGGCGGTCGACCCCTCCAGGATGACGGGGCAGCTGGAGCTGCGGGCTGGGGCCGCCCTGCTGGGCTCCGAGCGTCCACCTCAGTCCTGCGGTCGGTCAACCGAGAGAGAGCGGGGCAGTGGGGGGTGAAGCGGTCGGGAGAGATATCCCAGTCATCTGGACCGCAGAACCACGGCATTGCTGACGGGCCGCCCCCGGTCACTCTAGTCCGCCCCCGCCGCCCCTGGTCACTCCACTCTGCCCCCGCCGCCGTCGCGCCCACCAACAAGGAAGGGTAGCGGTTACCTATGTACACAATGGACGATACTTTTAGAAGTGTGTGTACGGGTGGTGTGGTGGGCGATACTTTTAGAAGTGAGTGTGCGGGTGGGCGTATGCGTTTGGCA